GTATGGAAATCCCGAGAAGAAAATTCTAACAATTCCATTACCGTCCTGACACCTTAGACCTCCAGTTTATGCGAGTCCGTTTCACTACCTACACGTACCGAAGCTTCAAGCTCCTACTCAAACGTAGCCCCCAGTAGTTTATACAAGCAGTCAGCACCATCCTAAATGCTTCTAAGCAATGAAACCGATGCAAATGAGTGTGTGTGATCTCTAACTCAAAATGAAAAATCATGAAGAAGAAAAGCCACATAGCCTGAGTATAGAGACATGTTCCTTCTAAGTTAGGTGCTCCTCACCCGAGCATTTAGCCCAACGGTACAGAAAGTCTTTGGAAATCAATAGCATAAGCTTATGTGCAAAGAAGAATCGAAATAGAAAAGATATCATAGCCACTATCAGGTTGACTTGCCATGAAAGTATATGGATAACGGGCTTAATGTGACTGCGCCAGAACAAACCGGGTAAAACTTTTTGCAAGGAACTTGACGCCAAGCTGCAGTAGCATGATTGGAACTGGCTTGCATAAAAAGGAGGCCTTCGAAGACTTACAACTCAGTGTCACCACCGTATGTGTTTTGTTTCAATTTTAGTCTTGGCCTTCCTAACTTATAATTTGAAAAAAACCTTTCGGAAAGGACAAGCGTGCCGCGTGTTTGCCCCATTTCCAATTTTTCCAACTTTTACTTGAGGACAAGTAAAGATTCAAGTTTAGGGGAGTTTGATAACGCGAAAATGTATATACAAAATGACATGTGTTTTAACTAATGTTTGACCGGTTTCACTCCGAATTCGGGGCATTCCACGCTATTTGTCTAAGTATTATGCAGGTATTCAAAGAACATGTCCAAGCAAAGCAATATGAAGAAAAGGAGCAAAAACAAGTGAAAAATAGATGAAAAACCAAGAGAAAAACAGCAGAAACGAGTTTTACTGATGTGACGACCGTCACACAGCCGTTACGCTCGTCATGCGTGTGACGACCGTCACACCTCCATGACGACCGTCATGCAGCCAGAACATGCAGAATGAAGTCACGTGCAAAAATTTCCCCTCAAAGACCAAAAGTGTGGCCACTAACTCCTACTTTTCTGCCTCAAACCCACTTCCTGAAGGAATAACCGTTAGATACTCTCCCTCTATAAAAGGAAGAGGTTGGGACCTGAAAAGGGGAGCCGCATTCAAGACAACAAAGTGTTGCCAATTCATCTTCAGAGCAACCTTATCGTTCTTATATTCTTATTTGTTTCTCTTTTCCTTCTCTGTATTCTTTGATATTTTGTAATTCCCATTTTCCTTGTACGATCAATTGGCACAAAGACCAGAATCCTGCCAACATTGTGGAGAATCTGCCCAAAAGCCAATTGGAATATTTACAGGTTTTCATTTTTAATCGTAATTGCAATTTTCATTATGATGTATGTTATTAATTACTGCTTTTATTTATGTATTACCATTTCTATTTCCATGTCTAGCTAAATTACCGTAATCGATATGTAATAATAATTCATACGAAATTTGATAATAATTGGCGTAGTCTTTCTCTTTTCAAAACTCAGTTATGGTTTTAGTTTTTAATTAAAATTCTAAATAAACCTTTGTCACGACAGTGAGAAGCTATTTACGGTGGTTTTGCCTCGACAGTGGGAAACCATATTAAGGTACGAACCAACAAGCGACAGTTGCGGCTAAGACCAGATAGTATAAACTAGGCATTCGATTTAAAAACATCGAAAGCGCTTTAAAAAGGATTAGAACTTAGAGATTTTCAAAAAGTAACTTTAACCCCGAACGGGATAGCGACAACATACGTTCCGCCTTATAGTTGCGACTAGCGTCAACAGCCATCGTGAGACAAAAGTCTTTAGATCACTATTTTCTTCTTAAACTAAGTTTGAAAACACTTAATACGCCAATAAATTGTCAAATCCCCGAAGAACAAAATTATTGCATATCGATTCATAAATTTATATCTTAAGTAAAAGTATTAGTTCCCTTTAGTTTACGCATTTATTCAGCCATTATTCAACTTGAAACCAAACCGACCTAGCTAAACACCGTAACACCCGATAACACTAGATTGATTACGAGTCCCTGTGGGATCAATATCTGTTATTACTACGCGATAGGCTGTGCACTTGCAGTTAGATTTGTTAGACATAGAAAGTTGCGATCATACGCTAAAGCTTTCTGTGCATACCTCAAACATGGTTTTTGAATACCCGATGCCTTGGCACCCTTTGAGACATACTCAGTATTACCTGTAATAGCTGTCCAGAATGCTTTCGCATCAAAAGTCTCCGGGACAGCTCCAGGGCCATACAGTGGAAGTCGGAGGATACCTCCCAGCTCTTCCACGCTGAGCTCATGGTTAGTATTAAACAGTCTAAACCGCATTGTGCCATAGAAATATTTCATAGTACCGGTCCATCTTTTTTCCAAATGAAATTCAATGGTGCTTAAAAACTCCAACGTTATGCGTTCATATGTTGGAGCTTCTAAATGCATGAGTTCCAGCATACCTAGACTATGAAACATTCTATCAATCTCAATATTTAACCCTAATTCAGAAAGAGTTGTGTAACACATGTACCTTGTTGGCGTAATTTTACGCTTCACGTGGCATGCATAACGCTTCTCATGTTCGGGTGCGTCAAAAATAATGTCGTGCGTGTTAGGCGTCTGACTCGCTCTTTTCCTCGACCTTGAGGTTTCAGCATCCACTTTTTTCCTCTAACCACACGTCTGGGAGGCATTGTTCGTACCTGTAACACAGAGAAAAATCACGAAAATAAAAGTTAGAGTTAGTGAAAAAAATGGTGGGATGTTGTAGAGGATGAAGAGGTGAGCACTTTTTGTGAAGGTAGTATGGCATTTTGATGTAGGGATTATGGGAAGTTTGAAGCTTTAATGAAGGATTTGTATGGGGTTTAATGGAGTTTTTGTGAAGAAAGGAAGAAGAAGATGAAAGGTGAGAGAAAATGATGTTAAAAATCTGATACGATGAGGGGTAATGGGTGATAATTGGGTAGTTAAGAGGTTTGGGTAGTGTGGGCCACTCCATGTGGAAGATGAAAATTTTGGAAAAAAAACACATAGCATGTCTGACACGGGCCGTGTCAGCATGCTGTATTCTAACTTCCAGCCGTGTCAAACAACAAAGTCCCCAGTGGATCTGACACGGGCCGTGTCAGCCCACTGAAATGCCTCAAATTCCCCCTTTTTTTCATCAACCTTATGACCTGACACGAGCCGTGCCAGGTCCTGGTTTTTATCACAATTTTCCCTTCTTTTTGTTTTTGAATTTTTCCGATTTTTCTCTAGTACACTTGATTATACATTTGCAGACTAAAAAAAACTTCTTCATAGGGTGACTTCACGATTCTTGTGAGTGCATTGCAAGCCTAATTTTCCTGGCAAAAACAAGAAACACAAAAGGTTAGAAATAAACGTGTGGGTTGCCTCCCACAAAGCGCTTCGTTTAACGTCGCATGGCTTGATGGTCACCTGTCCTACCCCGTAAGACGAATGACATCAACTTGACCACTTGATTGTCCTTGAAAATAAGGCTTCAATCGCTGCCCATTCACTTTGAACGTGTCTCCATTTGTTGAATTCTTCAATTCGATATCTCCGTGAGGAAACACCTTGTGAACCACAAATGGTCCTGACCATTTGGACCTCAGCTTTCCAGGCAATAGTTTCAACCTGGAGTTGTATAAAAGGACCAGCTGGCCTTCCCAAAACTCTTTCTTTTGAATCCTCCTATCATGCCATTTCTTTGTTTGCTCTTTATAAACTTTGGCATTTTCATACGCCTGATTCTGAAATTCCTCTAGCTCATGGAGTTGAAGGATCCTAGAATCTTCTGCTTTCGTGAGGTCTAAATTAAGGAACTTAGAGTCCCATAAAGCCTTGTGTTCCAACTCAAGAGGTAGATGACATGCTTTTCCATACACAAGTTGGTAGGGAGACATACCTATTAGTGTCTTGAATGTCGTTCGATATGCCCAAAGAGGATCATCCAACTTAGTAGCCCAATCCTTACGAGAGGAACTAACGGTCTTTTTAAGGATTTGCTTGAGTTGTCTATTGGACACTTCTACCTGACCACTGGTTTGAGGATGGTATGGAGTGGCTATCTGATGTTTCACGTTATACTCCTGAAGTAACCTTTCCATGAGGTGATTCAGGAAATGTGTTCCTTCATCACTTATAAGCGCTCTCGGCACTTCAAACCTAGTAAAAATGTTATCTTTAAAAAACTTTGCCACTACCTTCTGTCATACCCTAAATTTGTCCTACCCCTTTTCAAGTATTTTCGCATTCAATTTTATTTCCAGTATTGCATTGCCTGCATAGTATCGTGTCTTTTACCCTGAATAAAACTCAGAAAACTGGTTAGCCAGAAAGAATACTCGGACACACATACAGGCTGGTTGAATTTTGGCCCAAAGACATTCGATCAGTTCGACATAATGTTGTAATTCTCCGAGTTATTTGTTCTACGTTAATCATTTTCTGTGCGGCCGATTTATTTATTTTTAGCTAATTCTATTCATCTTTTATTAAATTATTTAGCATACTTAATTTAAAATTGTCTATACTAGTTTTTTTTTAAACTTTTTGTCATCTTTTATTCAATATATTGTGAGTTTCTTTTAAATAAATCCCATTTATTTAATTAGAATTTCTAAAAAGGGCATTGTTGGCATTCCTATTTTATTAGTTAAAAAATCAGAAAAATGTGGAATATATCTTTTTCATGTCATTATGACACATGTCTAGTCCTTATTGGCTGATTTCAAGGGTTTGTGTCACCACACCCATTCCTAAGATGACACGTGGCAGCTTTTACTTATTTTTAGTTTTTTTTATTAGTTGATTTTATTAATTATTTTTGATATATAGTATATTATTAATTGGTTATTACTTAATTAACAGAAAAGAAAATTGAAACTAAAAGAAAAGAAAAAAGAAATAGACAAGGGAGGGCGCAGGCTTTAAATGGGAGGATGGAGGGTTTTTTCAGGGAAACCATCACTGACTCTTCTTCTTCCAAAGGGAAACCCTAGCCGCACAACACTTCCTCTCTTCTTCCCTAAGTCGGCGGTGCCGTTTTCCCAACCCTCTTCTTCTTCCCTAAAACGCAAAACCGTTTCCTCTTCTCCCCCAGGTCCACCGCCAAACCCTTCTGTTTTCCTTCCCTTTGCTTCACCTTCACCATCGTCGAAAACATCTTCTTCTTCCCCTAAACACAAAACCCTAGCCGCCCAAATCTTCTCCCTCTTCTCTCTCAAATCCGCCGCCGACACTTCCTTGCAACCATCACCTTCATATTCTTTTTTAATCACCAATTTCCTCCCCAAATTTGTCTTCATAAACTATCAAACCCCATCACCATCAGTCGAACCTTCAACCAAACCAACCATCTGAAGATCGCCGTGGAAAGAGACCCATTTGCAACGCGTCAAAGCTACGACAGAAAGTGACTCTGGAAGAAACTTCTCGATGAAAGACGTCATGGCGAGAAACGAAATTGAAGTCGCGACAACCTCAAGGTAACAGAAATGAAATCCATTAGTGTATCAAGGCGGAATTTGGTTCGACTTTCGTCTCGGTTGGTTCATAGTCGCATTCTTCACTATAGGTAATATTCGAGTCCCCTGGTGGCCATTTTGTTGGTTTTTTTTATATCCAGTTTGTAATAAATCTGTTGAAAAAGACCTAGTGTATGATGCACATTTATTTTGGTTATTGTATAATTAGTTGATTCGTAGAAATATAGTGTGACGTAGCTATCAAATTCGTTTTGACGTTTTCATTATCATCATTCTGTTTCTGTTTTAAGTTCAAGGAAATGGCAGCATGTGAGTCTTTGGGTTCGGAACTGTTTTTTTATGGTGGTTAGTCTTATTTTAATGCACTCATCATGCGTTGACAAAGGATATTGTTGACTCTGTAGAGTTAAGTATTTGGCATTCGTGATTAAAATAGGACTAATATGAAGGTTTGGGTTTGAATCCTCTGATGTTGTTTTTTGTTTAAAGCTCGCATTGAATGTTGCATAAATATACGCGGTGGTAGGTTTAATTATATGGCAGCCTTTGTATGCAATTTTTTTTGTAAAGCTTGGATTAGTAGTTGAGCCCTAGGAGCTGACCTACCGTGTTGAATCAAGCTTTTTGTGGTGCGCTACGTTTCCAAATAATTAGTTCTTTTTCTCTACTATTTAGATGATATGAAGGATCTATATTTGGTCAATAAAGTATATGGTAATAAGTGGGATGTGAGGTAATGTTATCATTGCGAAATTGGACCTTGGTCCTTGGATGCAGTAAGCCGACACCGCTATGCCATAAAGCAAGACTTCAACGTATCAGTCAGTATTTTGCCACGGCTGATCATCATGCATGCCATTCCCTTCACGGTGTTATAACACACAAGTCAATTTCAGACATACTATGTTCTATTTTCAATTCTTTTTTCAATTTAAATTTTAAATTTCTATAATCATTAAAATCACTTTTTATTCAAAATAGTTAAATATTTATTTATTTAAAAAAAATTCTAAACAAAGATCTTGAGTTATTTCAAATTACATTTTTAAACTTGACTAACTATTTTCAAAATATGATTAATCAAAACTTTCTTAATTAAATCGCGAAAGAATCGAGCTCTTGAGGTTTGACATTTCTTGGGTTTCTCGAATGATCACTATTGGGGCGTACGCCTTGGGTAGTGACATTTGACTTTTCGTTTCTAAAATATGCTCCTTAATTTATTGGACAAAGAAATGCCATTGGAGTCTAGCACTCCACGTGGTACTTCCATTGTTCATTCAAACAATTTTTCATTATTTAATCAAATGAAAAAGGTGTCGTCGGGATCTAGCATCTCGATAATGCATCGTCAAGCCGGTTCCATTTTCAATCAAATCCCCGACTCATCGTCGAGCCATTTTCAAACCAATTTCATAGTTCACCTCTTTTCGCAATTTATTCGATTCTATCTATTTCAAAATGCTTTTCTTAAATAGTTAAAAAAAGAAGAAGATTCTTGGAGTCTAGCATTCATTGAATCTTCGAATGGATGACTCTTGAGGCGCACGCTTTGGGTTGTCATTCATTCACCCTTTCGTCTTAAAATACCTAATCATTATTCAAACATTTTCGTAATCAAACATATGAAAGAAGGATATTCTTGGAGTCTAGCATTCCTTGAATTTTCGAATGAGTAACTCTCGAGGCACGCCCTTGGGTTGTTATTAATTAAATCTTTCAAACTCAAAAAATTCAACATTTAACTTCAAACCAATTTAAACCTCGTCTTTTCGTGGTTGTTACCACAAACTACGGATGCTATGATTCTTCATTCTCGTCTGAATGTAAGATACGTGGGCACAAGATTGCAATGATCTTAGCAAGCATACTTCTGTATTTCCCCATTATTCCATCCATAATTTCCCCCATCCTTTCCCGTAGTCGAACTACGACGCTATGATTTCTCATTCTCGTCGAATGAGCATACGTAGGCACAAGGGCCCCAATCCTTGGCGAGCACCCCATTCTATAACCACCAATTTCCCCTAACGTTTTTATCTGTTTACCCTACCAATTTATTGAGAAGAAAACAAGCAAGCTTAGATAACGCTCACGGAGAATACCCTAAGAGATTCCCATTGAGTACAACGGACGTGAGGGGTGATAATACCTTCCCCTTGCGTAACCGAATCCCGAACCCGGAACAAGGTTGCGACAATCCTATTCCTGTCCTTCTGTTTTAAGAGGTTTTCTCGTTATTTTCCTCTCCCATTTATTCAAGATAAATAAAGTTCGGTGACGACTCTGTCAAACCGTATTTCCGCGCCTTTCGTGTGAGGGTCGTTTCTCCGAATGTCTTTGTGATTTTTTGAGGTGCGACAACTGGCGACTCTGCTGGGGACGTTTGCTCCATGCAAGAGAGAGTCGAGCCTATCTTAGAGTTTTGTGAGGAGCATTATTTTTATTTGTTTTTCTTCTCGTGTATGTATTTGTTCTCTTGTGGATTTTATTTATGCTTATTATCTTACTTGCCTGTTGGTTCTTGGGATGACATCGTGAGTAAAGCTCTACACCCGAGATTTGGTAAAAGCAGAGAGAACACCTAGTTTAGAATTGGTAGTTGAGTAGTGTTAGTCCCTAAGGACTCGCTCCTTGTGTGCCTAGAATGAAAGCTCCCCTAGAGGAGACCTATTAATAGATCCTATTGTAACACAGCTAACCTGTTGCACGACTTGATTAATGAAGGGTTCGTGGTTCTGGGAACCCTTTTAGCACCAGTTCCATATTAGTGGTCGTGTAGTGTCAATCTCCAAGGATTCACTCCTTGTGTGCCTAACTTAAGGACTCCGCTCAGGGGAAACCTTGTCATCATTATCGTCGTAATACAGCTAGCCTTTTGCGTGACACTGATGTGATTAGTGTCCATGATCCTGGGAACCACAAACGTAGAAACCATCTCGTGAGTGGGTTCATGGGTAGAAGATATAGATCTTCCCGTATGGGTTTCGCTTGTAAGGTTTATTTGATCAGAAACTATGGTTACTTACCTGTTACAATTACCAGTTTCAGAAGTTGTTTGAACTGTGATCCTGTGATCCTGGATCTTGCATCTTGCATTGCATTTAGCATATCATTTGCGTTGCATCTGTTATGCATTTTGCATTTTCATTCCTTCAGCAGAACCTCATTTCTCCTTCCTTCATCTCTAGTAAATCAAGTTGATTCCTCGACACAAGTACGCAACTAGAGCCAATATAAGACAAATGATGGAATAGATTAAGCAAGAACAAGTTGCCTTCAGAGAGGAGTTGGACTCCATCAAATGGAAAATTGACCAGATTCTTGAAGCCCTTCTCACTGCCAGAAGAGAGGAAGAACATCGTGAAGCTGCCGTTGTCTTCAACAACAATGGTCAGGTGCAAGGGTCTGCCTCAAGACTCTCATCTCCTATTCATAACCCCTATAGGATACCAATGAACTTAGATACTGCAGCCGAAGGAACCACTTCTCAGCCAATCCCAATACCTGGACTTACTATGGGAGTTATCCCGCAAGCGCAGCCTACTATGGTTCATATCCCCGCCGAAGATAATCTGATGGACCAGTATGATGATTGTTGCACCCCAAATTTTGACCCCTTAGATTCTCATTATCATTTTAGGAGCATTCTCATGAATCATCTAACCTTAACCCAGTGCAAGTTTGGCTTTGTCAAATTACAGATGAATCAAGGTTTTTGTACAAATTGAAGCTTCAGGATTTGTGATTAATCCAAGTTTTGGGCTAATTCAATTATGAAACAAGGTCAAGGGTATCATATAATGTCAATTGAGAATCCAATTTGAGGTTGTTACCCCAGAATCAAGAACAGTGTATTTCAGGGCACCCGATTAGGGTTTTTGACTAGTAAAAATCAACTGTAGTTTGAATTTGATTTTGGAAGGTGTTTTAATGGTGAGATTATGATCCATGAAGTTCATATATATTAATAAAGTTCATTCAAGAAGTTTCAAAGTCTCAGGAGGTCCAGAGTGTCAACAGACGACTCGGTAGTCGCCGATCGATCGTACGATTGACCAAAAAGTCAACTCTTCAAATTTAAGGAATTGGAATTCAAAGTGTGAATCAAAAATGTTCCTTATATCATATTGCACTTGCCTATCAATTTTCATGACCATTGGATCAAGGATGAAGGTGTAATCGAAAATCGGGAAATTAGGGTTTTGAAAGGGGCTAAACCATAACTCCTTAACCACACATCCAATTGAGTTGGTTCAAAGCTCATTTGAAAGCTCTTGACAAACTCTACAAAAGTCCCTAAGTGGTCCATGATCAGAAAATGCATAGATTTGGAATTATGATCAAATTCATTTCTAGAAGGGAAAAAGACTTAGAAAAATTTCACTTTTAAGTTCATTTTTTAGCAACTTTGAGAGACTTTTTGACCAAGTTCCTTTGGGAAATTGAAACTCATGAAATCATGAATGTTTTAGAGCTATTTGAGGGATTTCTAAAAAGTACTAGCACATCTCAAAAGGATTTGTGAGCTGAAAGTTAGGGTTATGGCAAGTTGGTGGTTTTTCACTTTAGTCCCACATTGTCAAATGTTCAAAAATCATTCTTTCCTCAAATATGACCAATCTCAGCTTGTGAAACATGTTTTTTCTGATGTATATAGGGTTTGTAACATGAGAGAACAAGAGAAATGCAAAAAATAGGAAGTTAGCCAAACTTGCAAGTGGCTTGCAAGTTGCAAGGCAACTTGCACTTAAAGTAAACATGGTAAGCATGAGGTGGAAACTAAGTTCTGCAAACAACCATCAAGTTGTGCCTCTAGC